AGGTGCCGCGAGTTCAGCTGGACTTTGACGTCGTGTGGTGAAGTGAAGAATCGTAAACGTCAGACTACATCATCAGTTTTGGCAGCGTGGACTATCGCAGAGGCAAAGCGAATAAGCGCATCTTTATCACGAATGCATCCGGGGCTCAAGAAGAAAGCGTTCACTTCCAAACAACGTGACTTCATTCAAACATTGACTCGTCGTAACACTTAATATGATCAACTCCCTCTTCCAAAGAACAACTTGGCCTGCCCTTTCTCTACCCCGTCTCCTCTCCCAGCACCGTTTCCCGGTGGCCGTCCCCGCCCTCTAGAAGGTTTCGAACCGCCAGCACCTTTTTTTGCAGGGGCCGGTGTGGGATTCCTCTCTTCCTGCCGCATTTCCTTCGATAGATCGAGGGCAAAGTGGTAGTCTTCGTGTTCGGCTTTTTCGCCTGGTGGGAGATGGAGGTTACAACGTGAGCAAAAGTAAGTCTCTACAGGTCTTTGCGGTACGGAGGGTCTAGCACGAGGAACAGGTGTTACTGGGTCGTGATGCTGTTGTGGTGGTGAATGTGACGCGGGCTGGGGTTGGGCCGAGGGAGGTGTATCTGGGGGATACACGTCCATGTCTGAACTGTGACGGTCTAATGGTGGTGTCGATGGTCGCTGTACATCATCGTCTTGTTGTGCTTGGAAGGGATCGAGATCCTCCCCAGTTGCTTCCGCCTCGTCTCCACTCTCGTCCCTTGTAGATTCGCTATGTGCTTTCCACAACACAGCTCTTGCAGCATCGAAGTCGCTTTTCTTCTCATCTCTCGGGCCGAAGAAATTAGCAATGTTGCCTTTTGTCCTTCTCCGCTTCGCGGGTGGCTCGCCTCCACCGATGGTAGCTCTGCCACTTGACATCATGGCCTTTGCTTCTTCGCCTCGAACGAGGAAGCCACCAATACCTTTATTGTTCGTGATGCCGTCTTCGAAACCCCCGACGCTCAGAGAAAGATTGGAGCAAGGCCACGCTCTCCCATCGACGACGACTTGGGCCAGAAGATTCTTGGCAAGATCGAACAAGATGGTTTCTGACAGTGGTTTGCCCTGGGGTATCGGTGCTTGTCGACTCCGTGTTTGTGCACCTTGACGATGATGCAAGTTGATGCTCTTGGGCCTTCTCTTGTTCTCCAGCACACCCTCTTCCACGCACCGTGAGAATATGTCCGCCACGAAGATGCGTAGCCACCGTACACCCTGCTCGAACGAGTTGATGGCTGGTCTAAAGGATTTGGCCGAAAGCATGCTCTTGATCTGCGTGCGCGGGTTGACCTCGCTGCTGTCTTCGCCTCTGATGATGGAGTATATCCAGCTGCCGGTGTCATCACCCAGCTTCTTCAATTGATCCAATGGCTGTTCCACAAGGTCCTTCACTTTGTCTGTTCCGAACATTGCCACTACTTCGTCCCCCAGTTTGCCTCCCAGCATGCGAATCTTGGTAAACTTCATGTCGGAGAGAAAGTGCTTGACAGCGCGATTCCGTATAACGGTTTGTTGATTTGGTTTCTTGTATCCTGATCCTAGTTTCGATAGCATCTTGTTCCTTGCAACGCCCCCGGAGCATGTGTAGCCCAACGTATCCTTGATATGTCTCCTCACATCTCGTACAATCTCGGATGCGATGACCATACACACATCGTCCCAGTCTGGATCTCTGTCTTCTCCATCTTCCTCGCCTGTTTCGACGAGCGCATCGGCCGCCCAGTCCAACACGGTTGTAGGCACCTTCGGCAGTGGCTCCGTCGGGTCGTCGTACGGCGCGGGGCCTCTCAATTCGGGGTATCTCTCCAGCAATATGGTATGCACCTGCGCGCTCAGGTCCATGAAAACCTCGTCGATACTCGCCTTCTCGACACGTTGTTCTTTCTCGGGCAGAGTCTCCTTGATGCATTTCAGGATCTTGCGGCACTCCATGCGATATGGGTCCAGGCTGACTTTATGCGTCGCCATTTCCTTGAAGCTGTTCTCATGATATGCCCATGTCTCGTCTCCCTCCTTCCACGTCGCAACATGTTGTAGTATAAGATCCGGGCATTGCTTCAACGCTTCAGTCGAGGTGACGTGTCGGCTGAGTCCGAATGCGCGCGCGGGGTAGTTGATCGCTATCAGGCCCTGCCATTGTTGTACGGCGAGCGGTTTGGAGGGGTCGATGCCGAGGCGGACGGTTTCGCACTGCGCGTAGAAGGCATCGAGATCGACGTGTGCGATCACACGGAGGGGCGTCTGCGGGCTGTACGTCTTAAGCTGGTGTAGCTGTTTATACGTGAACTTTGACTTGGGGATGCGACGCGGAGAGGTGATGGAGAACTGCGACGAATGAAACTCCGGCGATGGTGACGACATGCCGAGTGACGGCTCATATCAGAGATTGGGGTCACGTTCGAGGAGGGCGCGATAGAGTCTGGGAGGGTACTAGCCGAGTTGCGTAGTGGAACTGGAGAATGCGATGTAGACGCGACATCTGGAAGGCGCGTGTTCCCGCGGTCCCGTGCATGCGCGTCATTCATCCCCGAGATCGCGCTAGCCAGATCGGATTCGCTGTTCGATCAACACCACGTCTGCAACCATCAATCAATCTCACGACAGCTATGCGTGCTACCACTGGATATGGGACTACGATGTCGCAATCGAAGGCAAGTCCACAATGAAACATCAACCGCCCAAGTCCAGGTCACGGCACGCTCATGGCATTTGATGATTTTCCGCTGGAGCATGACATTAGCGTCATGCAATTCCTAGTGAGCACACAGCTTTTAAAGGAGCGGGCGTTAACTGTAGCTGCCAAATTCGAACAGTTGGGATGATATGATTGTGCAAATGCACTGCCTTAACTGTCCAAGATGATGCATCACGTAGACGGCAGACGTATATGAACAGGCAATATATCGCGGATGATCTAATTCTTGCGCGTACCTGAAGATCAAGCCATGGCGTGTTGCACAGCAGGGTCACATTTCGGTGATTGGCCGCGGCGCCACATTTCGAAAGACATCAGCCGCAAATCAATGTGCAGCGTGCAAGCACACGCACGCCACACTGCAATCACAGTGACAATACGGAAACGATGCGACCGTTTCAGACGTGGCAAACAAATCCATGAAACTCTTTTGAGTTGCTGCACTGCCATACCAAGGCTGTTGACATAGTCGTTGACGTCATGGTGAGCCCTTGATCCAATAGGAACATGCGGCTCAAGCCTCGCGACTACAGCAGGGCGAATACCTAGGGCGTTGCTTTTAATCGAGCTGTATTTTGTCGTGTGTAACCTCCTCTAATTCCCATACATACTGTTACCGTAATCATGATCGCAAAGATGGAAGGAACTAATGGACATGCGGAGTCTGGTGGAGACGTACCAGTCTACGCGATTGACAATGTACCCATTACCCACGAGAGGAAACCATACATTCAAGGGAAGAAGTCAAACCTACCACACGCAGGTACGTACCACGGCGCGCACGCTACTACTACTACGTCGTCTGCTAACCCTCCATAGCGGTCGCACGTGCAAACCTCGCTCCGTCGGAGGAGACACCTCAAGGCAGCACGCAAGACGACTGGGCAAAGAAGCACTCACATCAAACCGTGCTGCAACAACACTGCGACTTCTTTGACCGCGACCACGATGGTATTCTCTGGCCGCAAGACACCTTTGTCGGCTTCTACCGCTTAGGCTGCGGACTCTTCTTCTCCGCCTTCGCCGTACTGGTCATCCACATCAACTTCTCATATCCCACGTGCTCGGGATGGCTCCCGGACCCCTACTTCCGTCTCTTTCTGAACAACGTGCACAGAGCGCGGCACGGTAGTGATACAGGCACGTATGACACCGAGGGGCGGTTTATACCGTCGAAATTCGAAGAGATTTTCACCAAGTACGCCGAGGGACGGGATTATCTGACCGTGGGTGATCTGGTGAACGTGTTGAAGGGGCAGAGAAATATCAACGATCCTATCGGGATGTGTGGATTCATCTTTGAGTGTAAGCACAATCGCTTTCGGATAGTATGAGAGGCAAAATGCTGATATCAAACAAGGGACTGCAACGTATTTGACACTTTGGCCCGAAGACGGTCGGATGATGAAGGTACGCGATACGACGGAACCTATCTTGAGTTGCTGTTGATGCTAACAATAAAAAGGAGGATATTCGCGCCGTATATGATGGCAGTATTTTCCAGAGGATCGCCGATAAGCGCGAGAGAAAGATGGAGATGCAGAAGAAGAAGAGCCAATGATGAGCGTCGGCGTCTCCGATAGATCCATAGAGGGAGTCGATGTACATGCACATCACGACTCCGAGGAAATTCATTCGAGTTCCAAAAAGCGTTTCTTGAATATGTGGCGCTGTGGTAGAGTGTGTAAGAGTACCGCTACTGAAATGTCCAGTTCCACCAACCCGCGCCCAGACATGTGTCGTTCCGAAAGACCGGCCGAATCAAGCAGTGACATCACCAGTCAGCGCATGCCCCTGTCGCATCCATGGATTTCAATCAAAGAATCAGGACCTCACCTGACGATACTTGTACCTTTACGATAACACGCGCATAATTCTCGATTCGAACATACAGATGAAGCTAGCTCACAGGGCATACTACCCGTAGCCAATGGTAGCTGTCTGGCCGCGGACACCTGCATATCATTCATCCAGTTCTTCGATCCAGCAGCTAGCACCAGCCCTTTGATCCACGATCACGATCACCATGGTAAGAGTTTTTCGCGTGGATGAGCTTATCCGGAATACGGTACTTCGTCAGGACTAGTGGCCGGCAAAAAAGACCCATCAGACAAAGTGGGTCGCGCTCTGTGGTTTCTGAGCACACGTAAAGATGCGCAGGAGATGGAAACTACAGCTTTGAGCCAAAGCATTGAGGCTGGATGTAGCGAATTGCACAGTAACCAATAAATCCTATATTGTATCCAGCGTTGTTGTTACCTCCACCTTGCTCCAATTCCACCAATCTCTCGGCGCGTTCAAAAAACGATGCTTCGCCATGTCCTCGATGCCCTATCTTGCTGAGTTGGCTCAGTAGTATCGTTCGGAAGCTTGAGATCAGCCATAGTCTGCAACAGCCGATTCAGACGTTGTTCGGTCGGATCCGAGGTGATGGACTCTACGTTGACAGGGTATTCGCCATAGACGTGTTCCATCATCGACTTCTCCCTGTCATCTTCGTCTTTGATGTGCGCCCAGTCCTTGAGCAGCTTGACGTCTACCGGATTCATCTTGTCGCGCAAAATGCGGAATACGAGTTCAGATAAGAAGAAGTTATGGCCTTGGTCGCGCAAGCCCTTGGCGCACAATATAAGTGTGGCTCGTGTAGCTTTCATTATGGCTGGGAAATGCTCTTGTTGCGCTTCTGGGGTGCGTAGACGCTCGATCGAGTCGAAGCCTAGCTGAACGAGGACCTGGAGCAGGAATATGTAATATGCTTCAAAACCGTGACGATGGAAGAACATATGGAGAAGCGTCTGAAGACTCGCTTTCGAGGCAGCATATAGTTGTGCCGGACTGAAGCCTGTATACTTTTGGAACGCGCCACTATTGTTGGGCCAGTTGAGGGCCTTTTCTCTTTCCAGGAACGGTTGGAAGGTCATAGTAACGAGGTTGTGGAACTGCATGCTGTGACCCAGATGTTAGTCATTTGTACATGGAAGGTGTGTCAAGCCTTACTGTAGCAGAAGCTGTGTCGGCATAGCAGCATTTTGTGGCTGTAGCGGCTCTGGAAGATCATGGAACCATTGAACCAGCATAGAATGATAACGACCGGCCTGCTCAATATCGAGATTGTTATCTCCGTCGTCTTCTGGAAGAGCCTTTCCGGCTATGTCATTCATAATGCATCTGAGCTTAATGAGCGACAGGAATGTCTGTCCCAGGTAGATAGGGGTCTAGTAGCTTATCAACTTGGTTTATCATGATGGGTAGGCGGAGGCGTACCAGATGTGTTGCAAGAGGGTATTTGACCCAGATCTCACCGAAGAATTCGTGTGCGTCTTGGTACTCGGGCAAGCCGTCCTCAGGTGGAAGTCGAGACAGTGGGGGCTTCATGAGATAAAAGCAAGAGAACCTGAACCTACATCAGAGGCGATCTCCATACCACGTTGGGGACAGGGGCAGGAGGAGGGGGAGGGAAAGAGGAGACGAGGGGAAGGAGAAATCAGGTAAGCTCATACGCTTGCTGAGAGAAGATGCCCCAGGCTGTGATGGTTCTTGAAATGCGGTCCTTCTGGTTATTGTATTGCGCGGTCTTAGCAAATAAGTCTAGTCTATCCGCAAGCGCTAGAGCGTGGGACCACACTGTCCAACCCATTTTGTCCATGCCATTGGCGAAGTAGATTCGGCCTATGATGGTAGCTGCCTGGGCAGACGGAAGACTACACACGGCTTGTGACTGTTCTAGCTCCCATAGCTGTCTGGTCTCAGCCATACACCGGTAGCTATAGGTGTTGGGGTTCCAAAACTCGGACCTCTGCTCAAGCGTACTCAAGCCATGCTGTTGATCGTGTCAGCTCACAAGGAAGCAAGTGGGAGAAGCCAAGATGGAACCTACACAGGCTGCGGTGAGAATGGCGCTGACTAGGAGTGGTGAACAGTAATCAGTCCTTCCAGCAGTCATGTCATCGAGAAAGTGATCTTTGTGGAAGCAAGGCCACAATGGGAACTCGTACAGGAAGTAGCCTTCGAGAAGGCGGGTGAGGAAGACGTCGTCGTCGCTTATCGAAGTCCACTTGGACGGCCTCAGCGTGTCTGGCGACATGCGTGGATCGTACATGCGGGTGCCGGGATAGGGCACGTGGTAGATGGCGCTGTCAGTCTGCTCCTGGATGTCGGTGCCGTGATGGGCAGTCTCGTTCGACAGGGCCTTGTACAGTCTGGAGGCAAGGTAGGGGTTGTCGGCACCGTCAAACAGCGGCATCATGTCAGCAAGATAGGGAGCGGTGAACTGGTATGTCGTGTCTGGAACCAGCTTGAGCTGGACACGTAGACTGCCATACTCAAGGAAACGGAGGAGGGTGCGCTCGTCGGTGCCGCGACGCAGCTGGGTGAGGATGTCCTGGGCGACGTGCCATGGCTGGGAGCGCAGATGAGCGAAGATGTGCCGGAGGAGGGCATGCTGGGGGTGATGGTGTGCGTGGACCTGGACCTGGCCATGGTATCGCCTGGCACTGGCACTGGCAGCAACGGGCCGGACCGCAGGCTGAAGGTAGTTGCATGGCGTGTGCCGCTTCCGGCACTCTGAGCACTGGGGACGTTCGGTCGAGCACTGGTCGCGTCAGAGGTGGGTGAGTTTAGCTCGCGCACGGCCGCCGACTTACCTTGGTGATGCGGCCGCGACAAGCTTCACATGCTCCTGCGCCCACAATCCGCTGCAGACTCAACGCAGGCCGCGCCCGAGATAACGCCGCGCGCTGGGTGAGCTGCGAGCGGGCTGGAGGCAGGTTCTCGTCCATGGGCAGTAGCTGGCTCACCTGTCAGGCGTATTCGCGATTCGGGTCGTGGCCGCGCCGTCTTGAATATTGCTATTATACTGCACGTGGGTGGTGCAGCGCTCAAGGACCTCGATACCTCTCCTCGCCTACGTACGTGCCTGCCTGCTCGTACACAACATGACGTCGCCCGCCTCGACGCCCATTGGCCACGGCACAAAGCGCCTTCCTCTAATAGGCGCCCTCCTCGTCTCGAAAACTACCCGATTCTGGCTTATAATGGTCAACGCGTAAAGGTTGTCTGCCGGAATGCTCCCCCGTTCCGTCACCACGACGCAGCTGCTACTCCGATAAGGACTGCACTCGTGACTCCACGCTACGACATCTAAGCGGACCGCTGTCTCCGCCTCAGTCTTTCCCTCTACCTCCGCCTCTGCGCACGTGTTTCGCCCTTTCTCCCAGCACTTGCAGGTAGTCACGTCCGAGTGAATGGATAACGGCCGCTACCCGCCCGAGGGCTCCAGCTCCAGGGAGGCAAAGGTGGCCATACCAAGAATTCCTGGCCATGGATACCAGATGCCGCCTGCCACAAGAACTCCTCGGGTCCGCACCGAAGTAGTGAGCAAGGCTGTGAGTAAACTCTCTTGTACGATTGGGCCGGTGCTGACGTCCGCTTCTAGTGCACGCAGTGCCGTAAACGAAGTGGGCCCTTCCTCATGTCCAGATCGCACAACTTCGGCTTGCTGACTAGCCCCAGAGATCAAATGCTCTGGCCACCGTCCGCAATGTATCAACTGTCAACGGCAGGACAATGATTGTCACTACGACCTGGAGCGCAAGGACCGCCTCAAAGGGTCTGTTCATGTCTTTGTTCATCTGCTCCACATCCCCGTCTGACTATCAAAAGAGCTCAACGCAAATCGCACGCCTTGACTGCACTCTTGATTGAAGTGAGCAGCCAGCTTGACGATGAGAGCAAGAAGAGAGTTGAGGATACCTTGGCATCTTTCGAAGACGACACGCCGCCGCCTCCACCAACACCTGCTCTCTCTCATGGCAAGCGCGCAAGAAGAGCTTCGTCGCCTTCCCCCAATGACGATGCTTTGAGCGCCACCTCTGTAGATGGCGGAGAAGCTCACGTCTCAGCTTCAGTCGGCTCCAACGAAGATCTAGACTTCGTCCAAGAGGACATTCTCAATACGGATGAGGCAGACAACACGGGCTACATGGGTCACAATTCGCACGTTCAGTGGCTCAGAGCCCTGGAAACCAAGATCGAACAGCCCGAGGGCGAACCTGCCAACATGCCTTACGGGCCACCGGGCGTCGACGGCGACGCCTTTAACCAGCGTGCTGAAGCGCTTCACGGGCGTCAGCAACAGAGCCATACTCGCCCTTCTCCGCACCATGACAAGTTTTCTGGCTACTACTTTTACCTTGACAAGTCCAACATCGACGTCGATGTTGGTGATCCACACGTCATACCCTCTGCTGAGTCGGCCGAGAGGCTGTTCGACTACTACAAAGCATTCGTTCACAGCCCATTTCCTATTCTAGGTGACATGTTCGAAGCTCAGCTGAAATCCTACTTTGCCAAGGATCAGGGCAGTCCTACGCTGGTCGTCTGTCCAAAGTGGAAAGCTGTCATGAACCTCGTATTCGCTATTGGCGCACGCTATTCTCATCTCACCGGCGCTGAATGGCGAGCCGACGACCGTGATCACCTAGTGTACATGTGGAGAGCAGTCCATCTTTTGCAGCTTCAAAGCATTGATACTCTAGTTGCGCAGCCAGACCAAGCGCTAATTCAGGTAAGCTGCATTCAATTTGGCCCCAACAGCTTTTGACCCGTGTCTAGGCATTTGGGCTTCTCTCTTTTTACTACTTGACAATAGGTCATGTCAGCAGGTAAGTCGTACCTCGGATGAACGAAGGCACGTTCGCCTCTGTAGCATGCAAGTATACTAACAAGGACTTTACAGAGCTTGGTACATGATTGGCATCGCTCTTCGACACGCACAAGCCGCAGGCTTGCACCTCAGACACGAAGACCCTTCCATGTCTCCCAAGAGAAAGAAGGCCCTAGCCCAGATTTGGTGGTCACTGTACTCCATTGAATGTGTTCTTACTTGCATAACTGGACGCCCACGTACTGTGAGCGCCATTGACTGTACTGTACCGCCACCAGGCGCGAAGGGTACGGAACTGGATTCGTCGTCTCGTGAAACCACCACATCAGCTGTAACGAGACAGGCATCTGAGTCTTCTGCCGGCGAGTCTATGATCAAAACCAGCGTAGATCCGTTTGACGTAGCCTACGTTAGGATCGATATCCTCATGGACAAGATCCTATCTGGCTTGTATTCCGCACAAAAGTCTGCCAAGTCCTGGAAGGCTGCCCAAAAAGAGATTGCTTCCTTGTCTGACGAATTAGAAGCCTGGGCCTTGCACTCCTTGGTTCGGGGTCCAGCAACAGCGACCGCTGCTACTTCAGAGAGCAACCTGAGCCGAGAGCAGGTGCTGCTCTACATCTACTATCACAACGCCAAAATTTGCATTACACGGCCCTGCCTATGCCGGCTAGACTTACGCATCAAGGGCCAGAGCGAACAGTCGACTCGATTCAACCAGAAGTCTGCTGAGGCCTGCATAGGTGCAGCTCTAGATCTCACTTCCATGTTGCCAGATCCTCCCAATCCTACATGGTTTTACAGTCACGGCCCGTGGTGGTGTGCTGTTCATATAAGTAAGTACCTTACACATTGCAACATGGGGCCTAACTAACCACCCTCGTAGTCATGCAAGCCCTTACAGTCTTGCTTCTTGAGTTGTCATTGGACGGCATACACTTGACGGTCGAAAAGTCGCACGTTAAAACCTGCGTTGATAAGCTCATACGATGGTTGAATTCGATGAAACCCGTCGACGCAGTTAGCGAGAACGCATACAATGTTGTCGCCAGAGTCATGAATAAGCAGACCAAAGAAGAAGCGGCCCGTCGGCAACTACCTCAGCTACAAGCGACGGATCAGCACCAAAAGCAACAGGATGTAGAAAATATGGCCTTTGACTCACAGCAGCCATATCAGCCGTACAGTCAACCTCTCACGTTGCAACAGTCAGATGTTGCATGGCCAAGTGCTAACCCATCCAATAGCAACATCTATTCGCAGTCCAATACAGGCAACTTCTATCTCTACGACGCTTCCGGGGGTGATTATCTGAACGATCCCACTGCAGGGCTGACGGACTTTGGTCAGCCACTGAGTCTGTTCTATGGGAACCCCTACGAGTCGACTTTCGATCAGTGGGAATGGGACCCGGCGGCTTTTCTGGATCCAGATCAACCGCCAGGTCAGGGTCAGGATCAAAGCGGGTACCCAGGGGGTCAAGGTTATCAAGGCTACGAAGGGTATGATCCTGGTGGTGGCTAGGTGTGTCGCGTACACTCGCCAGCACTGTGGATGGAAGAGATATGAACATCGCGCCTTTGGGTACCCTCGTTCAGGACAAAATAGAGAGAGATAGATACAGCGCCATGTCTGAGCAATCAGCAACTGTATTCTCCTTGTACAACACCAAAAAGCACGTAGCCTACTACACAAATGCTGTGTATACTACTGTATCAGGCTTACCTTTACGCGCGCAACCATAGACTGTGTCACGATGTTGGGGCTGTTTCCTTCCTCAGCACAAGTGCCATAGCTCACAATGAAGGTCTCAGGAGACTTGTTGCCTTTCTTTTTCCTTGAAATTTATTCCAGTAGAGTAGTAAAAATGCGCAATGCCAAGGCGATGCTTTGCAACCGCATATATAAGTTTGGTAGTGACAACACGAGCTTGCACAATAAATTGGTAACGATGGGCGGTTTAGAGCTCACACGCTTCCACATTGTACATACCCTGAACAACCTAACAGTCTATCCCATATCGTTCCAGCGCATCCCTCACCGCATCCTCCAAGTGCATGGTTTTCACACCAACGAGCTCATTGTCAACAGTTCGCTCCAAGTCCTCCGCACGACCGTCATCATCACCCTCGTAGAACTGATTACACACGCCCAACCCCTTCATCGCTTTACCCATCTGCGCTTTCCCTTCCTCCGGCTCACCGCCTGCCTTCCACTTCTCCAACACGATCAAAGCGTTTCGGTGGATCTTGTCCACGTCGACGTGCGAGACGGTGAAGGTCGTGTCGAGGAGCTTTTCAAGGGTGCGCAACAGCGTGCTTTGCGTGACGGTAGAGGGAGGGGAAATGGGGTCGAGGAGAATGGGGCGGTTGGGAATGGCGTTGGGGTTGCGGAGCATGTTTCTTGCTGCGAGGCCCATTGTGGGTAGCGGGGTCCAATGTAAGGGTTGGTTACCAGAGCCGTAGATGCGGGCGTGGCGGTTGGGTATGTCTGGTAGGGCACATGTTAGTGAGATAGTGATGGTTTGGAATTGATAGGGAGAAGATTACCAAAGCCTGCTGGACCTTTCATCAACCCTATCAAATAGAAGTTAGTATCACCCTTCCAGAGACAATGACAAGTAGTTAGAAACCAACATACACATATCGAAGAACGGCCCGCCGTTCAAACTCGTCCACGCCATCTTCCCCTCCTTCCCCAATCCCTCCAGATACTCCCTGATCCTACATTTACCGCCAACAAAAGCTTCCGGTAACCTTCTGAACGCCTCGTGGGTGATCTCTCCGACGAATTCGTTGGCGAAGAAGAGCTTGACGCCTGCAGCGACCGCGGCGTCGATGATGAGTTTGGATGGCTCGTAATGCGTGGCTCCGCCTGTGATGCAGTTTACTACTGCGTCTTGGTTCCGGAACGCGTCTTGGAGCGACGAGAAGGACGTGTAGTCGACAGTGCGATGGGTGATGGGAGGAGGTGGTTTGTAGGTTGATGTCGAGCGCGTGATGCCTGTTATGGTGAATCGGGGTCCGTCTTTGAGGAGTTCGGTTATGATGGCGTTTCCGACATTTCCTCCTGGCTGGCATACATGTGTTAATGTTGTGTGATGTAAAACAGCTTCAATGAGTTGGCGCGTAATATGAATGGGAGGGGAGACAGACACCGAGGATTGCAATTGTCTTGAGTTCCATGTTTGATGCTTTTTTTTGCGATGAGTGTACAGGGAGTAAGATTTGGAGAGCTGGTTCTCAATAACGACTTGCGATACGTTTTCATGAGACTACATGATCTTATACATCATGCAATGTGAAGTGCTCGCCCAACAGTCACCAAAGTTTCCGAAATAGATGCCACGGATGCATCATTTCGCTCATCTCGTCCGATTCTGAGGTTCGTTAGGGTTCAGGCTGATGTAGGCAGCCATTTGCATGTTTGCCTTGTAGTTGCCTGATGTTGGAAGGCGTTCGGCTTGGGTCTGGAAGCTGCATCCTTCGGCTCGGGAGATGAGAGACCACCGATCTGTCAAGACGACGCTTAACTCGTTCAGTGTTGGTGCAGCGAAAGAGGCTAGATCGCTCACGTGTTTCGTCGGCGTTTGAACTCGAAGAAGCTGGCAAGATCAAATGCCGAGCGCGCTCTACACTCATGTCATCATTCAACGCGAAGCAGACGCGTAATTGAGGCAAGGAGGATAATAGTAAATAGAAGCATTCCTGCTGTGTCAAGGTTTGGGCAGATACTTGTTCCTGCTGTCGGATGTTATCATCGCTGCATATGCTTTGGGAAGTGACGATGGCGGGGCAGCCGAGGCCGTGATGGTGGGGTTGCATCATCTCAATACACAGATGATTGTAGCAACACAATAGTGAGGATAGCAAACTGTCATGCTTTCAATTGAGCGGAGTAAATTACCACGCTCGATGTTCCAATCAAACAAGTTCGGTCCGAGATAGGCCGCTTTGAGCAGCGCCGTTGGTGGATCTGGGCAGCACGTAATAAAAGGTTACCAAATGCCGCTGCGCTCAAGATAACATTAACCGGCAACTCTTTCCTCTCAACCCCTCCATTCTACCAGAGTACCCAATTACCCTTTCCTCACCTTCACAAACCACATATCCGCCATGTCGCAACGAGCAGCACTTCTTATCGGCAAGCTGTCACACGCCCAAAAAGAATGGCAGGCATGTTCGCAGGTGGCATCGAAGCTGCACGAGTACCCCGATGGTAACCGAGAAGACTTCCTCTCAAAGTGCAAGAGCGGTGAATTTGACGGCATCTATGCTCTCTACCGAAGCAACGACTCGAATCCTATTACCGGAGATTTCAACGCGGAACTGCTCGACGCTCTACCCAAGAGCCTGAAGTATGTTTGCCACAACGGAGCGGGATACAACAACATCGATGTCGCAGCATGCACAAAGAGGGGAATATCGGTTTCGAGCACGCCGATAGCGGTCAACGACGCGACTGCAGATGTTGCCATATGGCTCATGCTAGGCGCGCTGCGAAATATCAAGCAAGCATACATGGCAGTCAACAACGGTTAGTATATCCAACTGTTGTTAAATGGTTACTGACACATTGCACAGGCAAATGGCGCGGTAACTTCTCCCTCGGTCACGACCCCAAGAACAAGACACTCGGTATCCTAGGCATGGGTGGCATCGGTTCGGCAGTCGCACATCGCGCAAAGGCATTCGGCATGAAGATACAATACCACAACCGCAATCAACTACCAGCCAACGAGGAGAACGGAGCAAAGTACGTCAGCTTCGAGGAACTGCTCAAGACATCCGATGTGCTCAGTTTGAACTTGGCACTCAACCCGTCGACTACGCACATCATTGGCAAGGAGCAGTTCAACACAATGAAGGACGGGGTGATAATCGTCAACACTGCACGAGGTGCATTGATCGATGAAGCCGCTCTGGTGGACGCGCTGAAGAGCGGCAAGGTCTGGACATGTGGACTGGACGTGTTTGAGGAGGAGCCGAAGATCCACCCGGGACTACTGGAATGCGAGAGGGCGGTGTTGCTGCCTCATGTTGGAACCGGCACATACGAAACACAGGTAAGTGACGCTGTCCACGCATCTTGTTGACTCTGAATTACAACTGACGGCTTCCAGCGCGACATGGAGATATTAGTCTTGGATAACTTGAAGTCGGCTATCCAGAGTGACAAGCTGTTGACGCAAGTACCCGAACAGAAGGGCAAGGCAAACTTGTGATTGATCGTCTGGACGATCGGTCCACGAATTGGAAACATCTGTACTCAGTTTGGTAATGAAGAAATGATGAAAATCAGCCTACAACTATTCTTCTGCATGAAGCGAACTTGACATGACTATAACCAAGAAGCTTCGTGTATTGCCGTTTACATAGTCCCGACACGCTCTATGCCAGGCCGCATGTCGGCTTAAGGGATATAGGAGGCAGCGTCGGAGCCGGTGACTTGGCTCGGCATATGGATTGCTTAGTGATTAGGCCAATGAGAAGCTTGTCGCAATTTCAATCGCCTAGCTTCCGTGCGGAGACAGGATGTGGAGGAGGAAAACCTGGGGTCGGTCTTTGAAGGGATGTGGAGAAGAAGGGGAACCGTGAAAGTAAATCTGGAGTCGGTCTTTGCATCGTGAGAATATCGCAGGTTCGAGAAATCATCGGCTGCTGTTTGGGTTCTTCACATGCACAAGACGAGCTCACCGCCCGTAAGCAACGCTAAGCATGGGCCTAGTCTGGCACCCGACATCTTCGCACGTGAACACTTCCGCACATTCGATTCCTTCAGAAACTGCATCTGCGCTGCACAGTCAGCGACTCATCCCGTCCGTTAGTCCTGCAGCCGTTTGACTCGTCTACTCACACTGCAGCCGTAGGATTCACAGCAAGAGCCTCAACACAATCGCAGCAACGGCGTTTGAATGGAAGGATAATTACCACCCGCCATGCCGACCCACCAGCTATGGGGCGCTCCGCCCTGTGACTGGCACATCTGGAGTCCCCACGATACGTCCCCACGTCATATCCCCGACGTCGCGTTACACTATGCCGACAGCCAAGCCAAATAGGCTTCGCCGTTTGCCTGCGGGTTTTGGCTTCGGAGTTTGGCTGGCTGGGCGCAGCGAGGTTGGTGCTGGGGAAACTGACGATATATAGTCGGATGCTTGCCGCGATGTTACCTTACCTAGGCACATTGACAGATCGACATCACTGTCTTTGACCGCTCGTCGCATCGCCATCGCATTCGCGTCGGGCTTTTCTTCTGTCATATTTGGCTTCCTTTGCCACGCGCTGCAATCATGGCCAAGCTCAACATGTCCGAGGTGTGGGCGGACATCAAGACGTACCGTCGCGCCTATGTACTCACCGCTGTGGCTTCCTTTGGTGGAATGCTGTTCGGTTGGGACACGGGTCTTATCGGAGGTATGTTTGCGTATTCGCACGTGTAATGATCATGGCTAACGCGCTTGTAGGTGTATTGACGATGGACGCGTTCCAGCACTCATTCGCCCTAGATAAGGACAGCAAAGA